GTCATTTAAAGTACTTGTACTCAGGCTTCTGTATTGGCTGCAGGCCGGACCTTTGTTTCAACACATGGCAATCCGAACAGCACCCGGGATCTACTCTTGTGGGTAGAGTCTAAGAAGTCATTTCAAATACAGATGATTGTCAACCCCTCATCAGTGAGGTTCAAATTACTTAAGTCCATGCAGATCCTCCTAACTTTCCATGTTTTTACAGTCAAGCCTGGTTGTGAGAGACTGCTGGTTCCTGCTGCTCTTCCTCTTCCACCACCCAGAGTCATTGATGGAGCTCCAGCTTATACGGTTGTCAGCTACTTTGCACACGCCGTATAGGAAGGGGTCTCCAGTACCTGGTCAACTGAGAAGGGTACAGTAATAAATTGAGGTCTTTGGTTCCTGCACGTCACATTGGGAGCTCATCACACACACACAGGGCGGTGTGCGTGGGATCACTTTGTCACTTTGACAGTAAGATTGAAGGTGAAATGTAACAGGGACGTGCGTATTGCGGCCGGAAACGACGGTCTGAATAGGGAGTTTTTTTGCAGCTCATCCCCAATCATCAGTTGCACAGTTAAATAATAATTATCTATAGAGCGCCTTTGAAGGGACCCAATGGTGCTTTACATCAGAACACAAACAAGACAACACAATTAACCAAGTCCACAAGCTGAGCTGAACGGTTAGGTTTTCAAAAGTTATTTGAATAAATCCAAGGATGTAGCATTGCAGATTATGGAGGAGTCAAAGTGCCAAAATGAGATAAATAAATATATAATTAATTAAATCATTAAATGTGTCATGAATTATTTAATATTGGAAATAAATCAACAAATATATGAATAAATATATAATTATTTAATTAATTAAATGCATGTGTTATTAAATAATTAAATAATTATTTAAATGTGTCATTAATTATTTAAAATTGGTAATATATAAATAAATACATAAATATTTTATGAAATCCATAAATAATTAAATAAATGTTTAAATAATTATTTGAAATGTTCATTCATTCTATGTAAAAACACATGTATTTATTCCACTATTTATTTAATTATTTCATGTTTCCTGCTCCAGCAGTGCATCATGAAATAATTTTATCTGTCATCCTGTCCCATCAAACTCAGTGGGCGGGATTAACGCTGATCGAGTCACAAACCATTGCTTTGGTCTGCAGGGTTGCCAGACTAGGCGGTTTCCCGCTACACAAACAAACAAACAAACATGGCAGCAATCACAGAGGATCTGCATGAGCTGGTATCCCACACCGGACATGATGCTGTAGAACGGCAGTGGGTATGTCAAGAGCCTGGCGCCCTGGTCCGTGTGTGTGTTGCGGCCCAGTACGGGAGAAGCGCTGGAGAACTTCTTCTAAGTTTCCGAACAGTCTTCGGTCAATATCTTGGTCAGAGAGAGCGGAAATAACTCCAAGAACTTATAAAGAATAAATTAGAATAAATCCCTCTGCTTTGCTAGCCACATGTTCAGGGTCCGAAATTCCAGAGTCAACATTCTCTGCCAGGTCTAAAATATCTGTTATCAACTCACGGGAGAGCTCATGCAGATCCTCTGTGATTGCTGCGATGTTTGTTTGTTTGTTTATTTGGTGGGAAACTGCCTAGTCTGGCAACCCTGCAGACCAAAGCAATGGTTTGTGACTCAATCAGTGTTAATTCCGCCCACTGAGTTTGATGGGACAGGATGACAGATAAAATTATTTCATGATGCACTGCCGGAGCAGTGAAATAATTAAATAAATAGTGGAATAAATAGATGTGTTTTTACAAAGAATTAATTAACATTTTAAATAATTATTTAAACATTTATTTAATTATTTATGTATTTCATAAATTATTTATTTATATATTACCAATTTTAAAAATAATTATTTAATTATTTAATAACACATGCATTTAATTAATTAAATAATTAGATATTTATTTATATATTTGTTGATTGATTTCCAATATTAAATAATTGATGACACATTTATTGGTTTAATTAATTATATATTTATATATTTCATTTTGGCACTTTTAGTCCTCCATAGAAGAAAACTACCCGGAGAGAGTTCCATAGGTTGGGGGCCACAATAATGCAGGCTAAGCCCCAAAACATGTCAGCAGGTTGGTCTGGGGAAAGGAGAGCAAACCGGTGTCCAATGACATTGAACTGCATTATAGTGCGGCCCTTTTACAGTTTACTTTAAGCTTTACAGGTCAGAGAAATGTTTTCTGTCGGTTGCATTAAATGTTTATGTTGCATCATGTAACAGTGGAATTAGACGGTAGGAGGGAGGGGGGAATAATCAAGGGAGAGGTGAGGAAGAGGAGGAGAGATCAGAAGAAAGGACAATACTGACTACAGCCGCCCATTTGCCTATAGAACTGACAGGGATTAAGAGGATGACTAGGGAATTGCAGTCAGAGATAAGTGAGCTGTGATAATTCTGGCACTCAGAGAGCAGACTGAGCTCAGCAGGATCAGGTCACCATCTCCCCTCAGAGCTGGATGATGGATGACCAGCAGGGAGCCGAGCTCTGCTACCCTCAGCTCCTCAACTCGTCTTGCAGGGGTATAAGGCACCCTCGCACTGAGGCCATCCTCTCCTATGCTTTGCTCTCTTCCATCGCTGTCCTCACTGTTGTTCTCAACCTGCTTGTCATCATCTCCATCTCTCACTTCAGACAGCTTCACACCCCCACCAACCTGCTCCTGCTCTCCCTGGCCATCTCGGACCTCCTTGTCGGGCTGCTGGTGATGCCGCTGGAAATGGTGCGGTTCATAGAAACCTGCTGGCTGCTGGGAGATCTCATGTGTGCTATGTGTGACATTATAGTCTTCACTCTTACCTCGGCCTCTGTGGGGAACATGGTGCTCATATCGATCGATCGCTATGTAGCTATTTGTCATCCTCTGCAGTACTCCCACCAAATCACTCGCAGTCGAGTGGAGCTGTGTGTGTGTCTGTGTTGGGCCTGCTCAATCCTTTACAACGGGCTGATCTTAAAGGAAAATCTGAGGCAGCCCGACAGATATAACTCTTGCTTTGGGGAGTGTGTGGTGGTGATTAACTATGTTATAGGAACAGTGGACCTCGTATTCACCTTTATCGGCCCCTGTGTGGTCATCCTTGTTCTGTACATGAGAGTGTTTATCGTGGCAGTGTCTCAGGCTCGTGCCATGCAGACTCATATTACAGGGGCTGCAGTCGGCAAGGTTCGAATTACTGCAGTGAAATCAGAGAGAAAGGCGGCCAGGACTCTGGGCATAGTCATACTGGTGTTTTTGATAACTTTCTGTCCATATTACTACCCCTCTCTTGCAGGACAAGACATATCAAACAGTGCATCGTCGTCGGCAATTGTGACTTGGCTGCTGTACTTTAACTCTTGTTTGAACCCTCTCATATATGCTTTGTTCTATCCGTGGTTTAGAAAAGCGATCAAGTTCATTGTCACACTGAAGATCCTGGAGCAGTACTCGTCTCTGACTAACATACTTTAAAGATATAATGTTTATCACCTGTTTAGCCTGAGCATGACAATAATCAAAGAGCTATGCAAAGTGATCAGTGCACATGCAGAATATTATATGTTTGATGTCAATAAAACGAAGAGAAAGACGTCTAGCACACTGCAGGCTCTAGAAATGTATTCCACCAGGGTGACGAAGAGCAGGTGTTGTTCAGACTGTCACCCCGGTGAAATACGTTACAGGGATATTGGAGCCCTGCAGTGTCACTTTTTTTGCTCGACTCTGCACCTGTCCTTTAGGTTTGGATGTGTGATTTCTGGATTGTTGTACATATGTTTGATATCACACTGCATTTGTGCCTTTCTTTATTTCTGATTTACTCTACTCTCTGTAAGCAGCGTGATGATTTAAAGATTTAGGGGAATTCTTGATATTCAACTTATTAAATGTTATTTGTTAAGCAATGACGTGAATATAAATGTTTTCAGTGATGTGTAATATAATGTGATTGGCTGCAATCTACCATCTCTGCATGACCTGTACACCTCCAGGACCCTGAGGCGTACAGCACTGTTTGAGACCAGAGGCTGCAGTCCATCAGGACCAAAACCTCACGCCACAAGAACAGTTTCTTCCCCTCTGCTATCAGCCTCACTAGCAATGCCCCTCCCCTTCCCCACTCCCCCCACATAACTCAGACTCTCATCAAGCCCCCCAGTCAGAGAGCATTACAGTAATGTGAAGGCTGAAACTGGTTTCATTTCACTGGAATTCATATTTTCTGTTTACATTCACTCTGAGGAGATTTTTTCACTGTCAACTGCACAACTCCTTCACTACACCTACTCTACATTAAGTGTTTTTATATATTTATACTCTTTTATATATATTTGTAATTGCTTCTCATTTTTAATCTGGATTTAAACTTTTGCTGTTTTTGCATTATTTCCTTTGCTAATCGTTTTGCACTAAAACACCAGGTCAGATTCCTTGTATGTGTAAATGTACTTGGCAAGACCTTCTCACTCTGTTTACATGGATACATTTATGCTGGTCAAGATGGGTCTCATATACTGTGAACATTTGTCATGGCCACACTTCCCTGAATTGATAAATGAACAGATACCGTTGATGTTGTTATCCCCATACATACATGTGTACCGATGTACGGATATCATGAATTATATATTTTGTTTTTCTGTACTTTGCCTATTTGTGCTCTTTGGCCCTCCGCTTTCAGGCGTAGAAAACATGTTGAACTGTCTCCCTACATATTCATGAAAATCAATGTAACTACACATCCCTCTTTACAGATTGTATATAGTTATAGAGTAAGAAGATAAATATTGTAAAAAAAAACAAAAACAAGGATGTTGAGGGGAAAAGGGTTTCAAGAATATCTAGATGTTTGCTGCAGACTTTCACTGTCGACCCTTTATGCTTTCAGTAACTGCACTGCTTATTGTTCTCAACCATCCTCTACATAAAGAATTAAAAAAAAAGAAAAAGACACATACTCTGTGTATTATTAAGTTCTTTTTTATTATCAATGGTAATTCACCATTTATGCTTCAAAAAGCAGCGACAGTTTGAGTGAAAAAAGACAGCTAGATATATATTTCACAACGCTTAAGATTCAAAAGGGAGAGATGGCTGTGGCTCAGCGGTAGACTCGTGGTCTCTCAAACAGAAGGTTGGGGGCTCGATCCCCAGCTCCTGCAGCCACATGTCTGATGTGCAGGGTCCAAAATTAATTTTTGACTCACAGGCCAAGGTGGCAGGTAGATGAAAAGAAAAAAAAAATCACCGGCCAAACATGTTTTTTACCAGCCAATAACAAATTGTGTTTTTGTGTCGCATAGACAGTTGTTACAGAACTTTTAATTGAGTTAATAAGGTCTTAGGATCTGTTGAAACAAAGGATTTAAGTCACGTAAATTGTAAAATATATTTGCTGGCCTTTATTTGTTAAATAAGCTTTTCTCTCTATTTAACTTTGACCATGTTAAACACTAAATACAAATAGACCGTTCATTATTGGAGGTGTGTGTATCTCTGACTGCTCCTGCTGCGCCTGATTGAAGTGAAAAGTGGAGCGTGCATTTACAAGCGCTGTATCTAAAGATTTTATAACGCAGCGCTGTTTCACAGTCTGTGTGGAGATGTTCACGGACTACAGCAGGCTGTGGGATCACGTTGCTATCATTTAGTTAGCTACAGACACGGTGAGAGTGAACTAAGAAATGTCGAACCGACCGTTTGACCGGGTCACGTTTTCCACCCCAACTCGGTCCGAACGGATCAACTATGTTCTGTTAAACTTAAAGTGAACAGGTGCGCGTGGTGGTTGGCGTTCCAGCGTGTGTTTGTTCAGCAATGTTGGTGTGTGTCATCGTGACCCCACGATGCTCCGTCATGTAGACAGCAGAGAAAGGAGCAGGGAGAAGTAGCTGCAGCGACATCAAACGCGCTTAATACTCATAGCATAGTTTTTATACGTGACTGTTGGGCAAAACATTTACCCGCAACGTGGCGAATAGCCCTCTGACATTTACTCCGCAAACGAAAAATCTACCCGCATTTGGCGCTTGGCGGGTGTTAATCTCAGACCCTGCATGTTTGTAATGTTGAGAAATTCATGCAAAATAATGGTGATAATGGTGAAGCCGGCATTATTCCTCAGACTATAACTGGAATGTCAGACAAGAATCCAGCAGTAGACCTCAATATGTGACCTCAGAAACCTGCCTCATTGAGCCACCACTGATCTTAACAACAATTTATGCAGTTGATGCAGGATGTCGACCAGAAGAGAAACATATAAACACCGTTGTTTAACCACTAGTGTCAAACACAAATTCTCAAGCCAACGCGCAGTGTGTTGAAAATTAGTGTGAAAGGACACTTTCTGTTCACACATGCAGTTCAGCCTGATGAGGTCAGGACATTTAGGAGAGGAGGGCATGTTTTAAAGAGGCTATAAAGAGAAGATTATGTGAATAAATGTTACATATGATCAAGTTCTGGTTTGTACTTTTTGTAAGAAATATAATCAAAATAATCATCACGAGAAGAATAACTGCAGCATTTCTTGGTAGCTTTTGACCTCTTGACATTTCTACCAGCTGTTTCATGTTTGGCCTTCCACTCCTGTAATGTGTGTAGAACAAATTCATTAGAAATATCATTGAAATGAACTTTGATGTGATTCCTCTGTCAGTCCCTGATGGATGAAGCTCTCCTCAGCTTGCAGAGCTTCTCAACGCACAAGATGGTGGAGGTTCATCCTCTGTGGATCATCAGGACACAGCTGCTCCTCTCTGCACCACCAGTGTCCTGATCGCTCACATTCAGAGATCATCTCCATCTAATGAGAGAAGACAGATCACAGAAATAATTTTCTACACAGACTCCTGTCATCAGCTGTAAGTCATCAGATTCCCCCACAGCGCTGTAACTAAGCTCCGCCCTCACTCCACCAAGTTGATAAAAAAGGCTGGTTCTGTTTTAGGCAGGCGTCTGGACACACTGAAGATCGAGGTGGAGAGGTGGAGAGACGTGTGGAGGAGAGGACAGATTATATTGAACAATGTTAGCCATCCTCTCCACGACATCATGACAGGCCAGAGAAGTCTCTGCAGTGAACGTTTAATTTCACTGCCCTGCAGGACTGAGAGGTTCAGGAGATCCTTTGTCCCCACAGACATTAGGCTTCATAACACACAGGCCAAAGGTAGCCGCTCATAACTGGAGCTGTGGCAAAACCGTCACTGCCTGCCTTTCCACCTCTTTCCTGTTCAATGGTTTAACTTATATGTGTGAGTTACGGAATACTCCAGAATTTCTCTGAGGGGATGAATCAAGTATCTCTCTCTCTATCTCTTTATATCACAGTAAATTATGCATCAAATACAGAAAAGGATGAAAAGTAAAAAACCCACAAACCAAGACAATTTAATTATGACCTAATATGAGGAGGGTTTACTAAAGAACACTGAGAGACTGACCTCAGAGACTCCAGTCGATAGTTTGGATTCTTCTGAAGATCCCTCAGCAGCTTCACTCCTGAATACTGCAGGCTGTTCACACTCAGGTCCAGATATCTGAGATGGGAGGGGTTGGACTTCAGAGCTGAGGCCAGAGAAGAACAGCTGATCTCTGACAAACTGCAGCCCCACAATCTGAATAAAGAATAAAAGAAAAAGAAAAAAAATGTATAATCCACTCACATGTGTTCAGGTTGTGATGAATATCTCAACATCACTTTGTCCTGATGAATGAAGTTTTCTCTAAATGATTAGAGTATAATTTCTGATTGTGTATTCACTAAATCTAAATCCTCCAAATGTCAGCACAACATTGATACAGCTGTTCATGTGCACAGATGAAGAACAGGCTGCTGATCTCAGTCAGCTCTGTGATGTTAGTACATTTATCAAATCAGACATTATTGAATCAAAAGTCTTCATGATTTCACTTCTTAACAGAACCAGAGGAAACCAGAGGCTTCATGTGCATGTTGTTATACTTTACTTCACAGTCAGAAAAACATTTTGACATCAAATCTCTAAATTATTCAGCAAATTGAAAAAAATAATCTCCTAAATCATTAAATTTCCCTGAGATTTAAATTCAGACAAATACTGAAAATATATAAATCCTGAAATGTGCAACAACCGAGGATGTGGATTGAAATGATTCAAATGAATGACACAGTCAGGGATCTGACCTCAGAGACTCCAGTCTGCAGTTTTGACTCAGATAATCACACAGCAGCTTCACTCCTGAATCCTTCAGGCAGTTCTGACTTAGGTCCAGCTCTCTGAGATGGGAGGGGTTGGACCTCAGAGCTGAGGCCAGAGAAGAACAGCTGATCTCTGACAAACTGCAGTAACTCAATCTGAATGAAGAAAAAAAGATGTAAATGTAGATGACAGTGAGCTTTATGCATGAATGTGTGATGTTTTCCACTTGAACACACTGATGTGATCATCATCTGTTCATTCCAACATTGAAGGACTTTATCAGGATGCAATAATACTTTAGTTCTTCCTGATCGTTCTTAGATTTAAACGTCCAATATGTTGAATTTTATTAGGATGTTTACATTGAAATATTTAAATTAATTTAAAATGTACTAAAGCCATGTTATATATCTTTTTGTTGTTGAGTACTTACATTACATCAAATATTTCCAACAGTTATTAAAGACAGAGAAATACGTAATTTTAGAGTTGTACTAGGACGTGTCTTGTCCTAGTGGCAGCCTTGACAGACAGAATGTTTATCGTTACCGTGGAAACAACGGATGTTATGTCAAAGACTGCTGCATAATGAAGCGTGAGCTGCTACTGAAAGCTGCCGTACTGTTGATGTATGTGCTGCTGTGATATTAACGTCATGTCACGTCATTAGGGCTGGGTGATATATCAAGTTTTTAACATATATTTTCAAAAAGATAAAGGGTAAGACAATATCTTATATCGATATAGCATCGATATAGTTCATGTTGCATTAAAATATTGTTAAACACGTCTTCTGTAGAGCTGCCAGTTCACCTATTTCTCATCTCACTGTCTCTCCCTCTTCACCCTGCTCCTCTCTCTCTCTCTCTCTCTCTGAGTCAAACTCAACAAACTAAATGGATAACAAAACACAGAACTGTGTTTATTTTGTTATGCAGAAAATTAATTAACTTCACAAACAGGTAGTTTGTTGTCATGTACATGTTGAACTTGTGCAACTGACTGTTAATAAAAGACATATCAATATATATCGAGTATCGCCATTCAGCGAAAAAATATTGAGATATGAGTTTTGGTTCAATGTAGACTATACTTAGACACTTCGTAGGTAAACATATTCTCATCCTCGGGGGCCTGTACTACGAAGCAGGATTTGGGGTTAACGAGGTAACTTCAGGGTTAACCATGGGTTTTCAGTCCTACGAAGGTGGTTCATTTGTTAACTGGGTATATCACCATGGTAATTTACGCACACCTAACCTGCTCCGGAACAGGTTATGTTCGAGATCAGAGATCAACCTGTGAAAATCTCCACCCACTGACCAATCAGATCTCTTGATGGTGGAGGTCTTTAAGCTGATGGAGAGAGAGCGACAAACACTAGGTTATACAACACAATCATAGGTCATATGACGCTAACTCCGCCCCTATTATGTGAATGTGCTCTCTGAAACTCTGGGTCTACTTATCAGGTTAATAACCAGCTTCATGTGACTGTTCAGCACGATCTCTTATATGAGGGTTAGTGAAGCCAGATAACAAAAAAAAAACTTTTCTGACACAACCCTCTTTCCATAGCCTACCTGTCACTCTTTTGTCATGCCTCTGATAAGTTTTACGGTGAAGGGCAGGGATCCCCAACACCTTGCTGATTTTTCTGAGAGCCGCATATCTCAGACCTAACTCATGTGCCAAGAGGACCATTCGCACTTTCACATCAAACGCGACATCCTTCCTGGACTCATCTTGAAGTCGCATAGATGTGTATACGCTCCTGCTGTACTTGTCACTCTCGCACAGACGACACTCGAGCAATAAACTGCTACAGAACCCATGATTCTGTGGATCTATATTTATTTTCAGCCCTGACCCAGCACAATTCGGACAAATTAAATCACAAAGCAGCTCATTCAATCGGGCAACATGAACAAGCAGCCACTGCTGTGTGACATGCGCGTCACTTTTATCTATTTCTAAATCACCCCCCCGGTTTCGGCGTCTGAACGCATCACATTATCAGAAACCAAACACAAGCCAATGAGATTACATTCTTAGCATTAAACCCCCCTCTGAACTTTCACAATTGGTTGCTGGTAGAAAGGAAGTGTCCTTATTTGGGTTACATAGCATTGTGCAGGAGAGAGAGAGCTTTACAGAGATATCAGTCATGACGGGCAGCAGAGAACAGCCGTTATACTGCACGTCGCATTAGAATGCTAAATTTTAGGCAAATTGACGAGAAACCTTACGCCGCGATCCGACAAAATGTATTAAAATATACACATAAATGTATAATTTGGATATTTTCTTTATGGTAGTTTGAAAGATTACATGTTCAGGGAGTGATCTAGCCCAAAATCTCAAAGTTGACCAGTGCATAAAAAATGGATGTTTTAGCCTGCCGTGTCTCGCCTTAACTGAATAAAAGGAGAGAATCCTCGCTTAGCATTATGCTAACAAATAACATGGGAAGTCCCATAGAGAAACGGCGAAGCTAGCGCTACACTTTTTACATGAATATAAGTACAAAATACGAAAATGAACAGTCTTTATAAACTCACGGTTACTTTAAGAGATATGCAGGAGATTTACAAAACTAGCAAAAGAGCATGGGAGCTAGGGACAAGCCATATGGCAGACATAGGAGTGGCGCCCATATGTGAATGTGGTGATGAGCTAAGCTAGCGCTCATGAGCATCATAGAACTCACCTTAAAACCTTCAAAACAAATTTAAAACACATCCTGACACACACTTAAGGATGGCGTTACCTTCCACATGCTATGGAAGAATATATAGATCACATGTAGCCTATGTGATTTGGGACATTTACTCACCTGTTAATAACAGGGAAATAATAGCAACAGGTAGGCCTAGTGTGTTTCCTTTCCTGCTTCTGCCAGTCTGAAGACGAGGGCTACCGAGCACACTAAGCTGTCTCACTTGGACGTTACGCCTCCTTGTGGAACAAATTGGAACCACACTCATACCTGTATATCCCATCTAGCTTTAAAATTGACAACAAATTAGACAACAAGTTAACCGTTAGCAATAGCTAGCTAATGAAATGACTGCTAGCTAACTGGTAAACTGTTAGCACGAGCTATTCCGTGAAATTGCTTGGTTGAGACAATGTAACATAACGGTTTTATAAGTTTAGCTAGTTAGCCGTTAGCTAGCGAGAATTACAGCCACTTCCTGTTTATGGCGATGTGATTTGTAGACTTCCTGTTGGATTTTGAGCATGGGTGCAAGAGGTAGGTGTTGTCAAGGTGGATACGCATAGTAAAATTCAGAATAGCAGGTTCAACATGCTGCCGGGGCTGAATGTTTTAAATATTGTAGGGGGCGCCACTGAGCCATTAAGCCACGCCCACTCATTTGAACGGTATCAAATGTTTGACTTTACCACCAGGATCATATGTTTGAAGTTTCAGGACTGAACGACTATGTTAAGCCCGTGAAAAAACTACTTCCTGTTTGCTGGCAACTATTATACATCAACACTATTTATGGGAAGGCCATTTTGAAAATTTGAAGGGGGTGCCACTGAGCTATTTTGCAAAATTTGTTTACGAAACCGCCAAAATATAAAAAATTTTGCGAGACCTGTTGACCCGGGAAAGTTTGGTGAGTTTTCAGGCCCGTTCAGGCCCTCAAAAGTGGCCGCAAAGAGGCGGAATAAAAAATAAAAATAACAATAATAATAATAATAATCACTAGGGTTTCAAGACGGTCCGTGCTGGGGCCCTAACAATCCTTTGGGTTCCAATAGGGTCCTACGCAGTTGTCAGTGCTTTGGGCCCTAATAAATGGTTTATTATGGTTAAGTAAGGCTTATTCAGCACTTTTAAAGAGGTCATATTATGCCCTTTTTGGGGTTTGTATATTTAATCTATGTACCTACTAAAGTATGTTCATAATAGCTCGAAAAAAGTGTCTGTTTTCATGTACTGCCATTCCATGCACCGGCTCGCTTCTGACTCTCTCTCTAAGGCTCTGAAGTGACCACGTTCACAGTACCCACGTGTGCCAAGTCTGATCTGATTGGTTGGCCTGCCGGCTCTGCCGTAATTGGTCAGTCGCTCAGCACGGTTCTCGGAAATGTCACGCCCCTTTTACCATATTGGGAATGCAGCCACTTTGGCTCCGGGAGCAAAAACATTAGCACCTTAGCACTACTGTGCTACCGCAGGCTACGGCATATCGTGGGCATGCTACAGAAGTTAATGGGTGTGCAACATGAGCTGCTGGGCTTGCCACAACGAGCCAATGGGCTTAGATCAGTGATATCACACTGACAAGACGTCACACTGGCAATTTTTTTTCGAGGGGGGCTAGAACCGAGCGTTACATGCAGCTAATGCTGCAGCTAACAGGAGGACGTAGGAGAAGCCGCGTTTCCATGGACTTTGAATATTTGCACATAGATGT